CCTCCGGCGCCCCCAGCCGCGCAGGGTCCGCGCCGGGAGAGCGCGCCCCGGCGGCGGGAGGCCGCGCACGAACATAACGGCGCGCCGGGCCGGACCTCACCCAGGATCTCCCGGCGCCGATCGGCGTGCGGCTGGTCGGTGTAGACCCACTCGAAGTCCTCCCGCGAAACGCGGTTCCCCATGGCGGCAGCTTGCGGGCCCGCTCCCGGCTCTCGCTCCGCCCGAGTTCCTCTGGTTTCGGCTCCTGCGAGGCGAACGCTGCAGCTGCTTCCCCGGCTCGTGTCAGCCGGCAGCGAGCGGAGCGGCCGAAGAGGCGGAGCCGGCGCGGCGTCCCGAGGCCCCGCCCCGGCCGTGCGTGACCTGGCGGGTGGCGTGCTGGCGGCGCGCTGGCGGCCTGGGCTCCGGCGGTCGACCGGGTTGGTGAAGCCGCCCCGCTTGGAAGCTCTCAAGCCGGGGGGAAGTCCGCGGCTCGGGGTCGCGGGCTTCTGAGGTCCTGCGACTCGGCCACCAGTCGGGATGCCAAGTTCCTGCAAGTCCGGGCTCCCTCCGAGCTGTCCGTGCCCGGGACCCATGCGTGTGCCCGGGGAAAGGGTGAAAAAGGAAGGAAAGGTGTCAAGTTAGATAAGGCTGCCGATTTAGCGCCTCCGTGGCTGGAGTACTGGGGAAGGCTGGAGCTCGGCCAAGTCACGAGGATCCTTGCTCATTCCAAAAACCAAACCAAACCCACTACCGTCGAGTCGGTTCCGATTCATAGCGACCCTGTAGGACAGAGTAGAACTGTCCCATAGGGTTTCCTAGGCTGTAAATCTTCATGGAAGCCGACTGCCACATCTTTCTCCCGCTGAGCGTCTGGTAGGTTTGAACCCCGACCTTTCCGTTAGCAGCTGAGCACTTTAACCACAGCACCGCCAGGGCTCTTTCCTTGGCTATTGGTAAATGACAACTAGACCAAGTTTTATTTACTTAATTTTAAAAAACAAATAATTCATGTGGGCCATTTTTTGGCGGCCTTTTGGAAATAATAGCTCAGGCTGCGTCTTCCAGGAAAAGAAACTCAGAATGTCTGGCAGTTATAAGCTTATAAGAAAGAAAACACTCGTGTTGAGAAAGGAAGAGATGACATGGTGTTAGCCTGAATTATTCTGGTGTGACCATTTCTCTTACCAGATGGTTGCTCAACCTTGCTTCTCTCTGCAGAAGTCAGCTGAGCCACAACCTCTTCCTGAAAGAGGGGGCATTGTGTTTCAAAATTAATTACCACTTCTCCATCAAGAAAGAAACTTTGACTAAAGTTACAAAAAGAACCGTAATCAGAGATGGAGTGCCACCTAATAGAAGGACTCACCACCACCGGAAAAACCGCTGAATCTGATCAGGTCCCTAGATCTGCTGACTAATATATAGGAAGTAGAACATGTTACTCTATACCAGAGGGATGCAATTAGCAAGATCCCTGAGGGAAACCCTATAGAACAAAAACCTGGGTTCTTTAACAAATAAAAAGCAAGGGGGAAAAAAGGAAAGGAGGTGAAACCTTTAGATTAAAAGAGGCTTAAGAGAGTATATGTTGACTTTGTTTAGATTTTGATTAAAATAATCAGTTTTTTTTTAATGGACATGAGACAATTCAGTTCAAATATCGACTGGATATGTGATGATAATTTTGTTAATTTAAGTATGATAATATGGTTATAGTTTTCCAAAGAGTCCTTTCTCTTAGAATTTCATACAAACAAAAAAACCCCACTAAACTAAAAAATACATAAATTATGGTACATGCAATTAACCATACCGTGTTATACTATGCCACCACCAAAAAAAGGCTGAGAAAGTTCTTATGTGTTGCCATGGAGTCAATTCCGAGTGCAGAGGGAAAGCAGATAGCCAGGCCTGTCTTCCACGGTGCCTCTGGGTGGATTTGAACCACCAGCCTTTCTGCTGGAAGTCAAACGCTTACCCGTTTGCACCACCTGGGGACTCTCTATGACAAAGTTCTTTGTGTATTAATGAATTGATCCCCAAAGTACACTCTGTAAACACACATACATGTTTTCATTAGATGTGCGTAAAATATGTCTAGAATGACACCCAAGAAATGGTGACGTTGTGGGAAAGTAAGTGGGATTCTAGGGGAGAAGGGTTGGGAGGGAATTTTTTTTCATTTAAACCCTTTTGCACCTTTCACATTTGAATTGAATGTGAGTTTAAGAAAAGGAAAAGGATTTGAGTTACAGGATTGTCACGGGGATTGACAAAGATTTTCATTACACATAGGCATCTTCTTAAATTTGGACTTTTAAGAGTTCTTCATCTCTGTTTCCTACTCTTGCCAAGTAATTTGCCTTGAAGCAATCATACCAGTTATTCTGGAAAGACATTACCCAGTCTGTTGAATGCGTTGGTGAATCCCGGTAGTCCTTGATGATGTTAGGAGATTTCAGATGAGGTTATTTTCCGAGGAGGGCTGGATACTTCTGAAGTCAAGGTGTTTTTCCACATAGACTGTTACCTTTCAATTTGTTTGTTTTTGAATGGGCAGTGCATTTTAAAGACCATTTTGATAATGACACAGTTGAGATCTGCTAATAGTATTGAAAGCTATTAGCCTGTGGGTAGCTTTGGCAACTTTAATTCAGAGAAAAGTAATTAACAGGAGACAATCTTTATTCACTTCACATGAACCTTAATCATAATAATAACCTCTGTATCATCTGTTTCTTGACACCAGATAACAAAGACAATTCCTCCCATCAGTAGTTGATTGCCAATAAATATTTTTTCTCACTTTAAAATGTATCACTTAATTAGAAAATTAGGATGTATAGAATCACAATTAAAACAGTCCACAGATTTGTGTATAACTAGACTAACTGAACCGCAGTGCAATGGTTAAGCGCTTTGCTGCTAACCAAAATGTTGGCAGTTTGAGTTCCCCCAGCAGCTCCTTGGGAGAAAGACCTGGCGATCTGCTTCCCATTAAGATTAAAAACCAAACCAAATCCATTGCTATTGAGTTGATTCAGACTCATAGCGACCCTATAGGATGGAGTAGAACTGCCTTATAGGGTTTCCAACGCTGTAAATCTTTACAGAAGCTGACTGCCACATCTTTCTCCCAAGGGGCAGCTGGTGGGTTCGAACTGTCAGCCTTTAGGTTAGCAGCTGAGTGCTTTAACCAGTGCACCACCAAGGCTCCTCTCCATTGAGATTACAGCCTAGAAAATCGTATGAGGCAGTTCTACTCTTGTCACGTGGGGTCGCTGTAAGTTGGACTGGACTCGATGGAACAACAGCAAAGCTAACCTAGTGTGGTCGGGGAGACACTGCGCCTCTCCTGTCCCGTTCGTGCCCCTGCTGGCCTCGCTCAGTGTAACTGGTCCTGCCCTGTCTTGTGTAGCTGGTCCTGCCCTGTCTTGGCGGCATTGTGGGCTCGTATTTACTGTTGGGGTCTCTGGTCCCACATTGGTCTCCAGTTTCAGAGTCCACACACCCATCCTATCTCCTGAGGACGCCAAGTTTCTTCCAGTCCACAGCCTTGTGAACCTCACCCCTTTGGGGGGATGAGATCTCTCAGCCGATTGCCTCATCCACGAGGGGTTGCACAGTGGCTGATGGGTTTGTCCTCAGGTCCAGCCGTTTAGACGCTTACGATTGCTAATCTGCTTAAGTATCATGCTGGAAGCTGGCCTTCCTGGGAGATTTCCAGTCTCTCTGGTTATCCCAAGCAAGCTAGGCCGTCCTGCTTTCTTCCTGTGGGCCTCTCAAATTATCTGGAATGCAGGATTGAGAGAAAAGCAGATTAAAGGAGGAAAATGTATACAGTCATTTCAAAAGAAGCAGAAAGGGCTTGATAAAACCCATAATCATAAGAATTTACAGATAAATTACAGTCATGAGCTGTGTAATGTCTGCTCAGGCAAAGTCCAACCGCATATACCTCCGTGGTTCAATACCAGAGTGTATAGAGGTAGTCAGATTTGTAAAAGCCTGAGGAGTCAGAATGATAGGGATTCATGATTTTTTTTTCTTCAGATATACACTTTCAATTGCTGCAACTACAAGATCTTAAATAGAAGATTTTAGCACTTTATTGATTGAAAGATTTTAAAGAAGACTTAAATAAACGGTGAAATAGACTATGTTCTTAGACTGGAAGACTAAATATCATAAAGATGTCAATTCTCCCCACCCCCACAATTAATCTACAGAGTCAGTGCAATTACAATCAAAATTCCAGATGGGTTTTTGGTGGAACTTAATATGCTGAGTTTAAAATTTATAAAGAAGAGTAAAAGGATCAAGAATAATGAAGACACAGCTACAGAAGAACAAGGTAAGGAAACTTCACCAAATATTAAGAATTAAGGCGCCCTGGTGACACAGTGTTTAAGTTCACAGCTGCTAACCGAAACATCAGCGGTTTGAACCCACCAGCCACTCTTCAGGAGAAAGATGTGGCAGTTTGCTTCTGTAAAGATTATAGCCTTGGAACCCTTATGGAGCAGTTCCACTCTGTCCTATAGGGTCACTATGAGTCAAAATCGACTTGATGGCAATGAGTTTGGTTTTTTTGGTTTTGGTTGTTGTTATGGATTGAATTATGTCCCCCCAAAATGTGTGTTGTAAATCCTAACCTCTAAGTTTGTGGTTATAATCCCTTTGGGAATGGGTTATCTTTGTTATGTTAATGAGACAGGATTAGGTGGAGTGTATCTTGAGTCAATCTGTTTTGAGATATAAAACAGATTAAACAAGCAAGAGAAAGAAGCAGAGATAGGGGAAGAGAGATGCCAAGCCACGTGAAGATCTCCAAGGAACCAGGAGGCAGAAGCTGAAGAGACAAAGACCTTCCTCCAGAGCTGACAGAGAAAGCCTTCCCCTAGAGCCGGCGCTCTGAATTTGGACGTCTAGCCTCGTAAATTGTGAGAAAATAAAATTCTGTTTGTTAAAGTCATCCACTTGTGGTATTTCTGTTATAGAGCACTAGATAACTAAGGCAGTTATAATATATAAATAAGATAGCTGCCATCAAGTCAACTCCGACTCATGGTGACCTTACGTACAACAGAACGAAGCATTACTTGGTCCTGTGCCATATTCACGATCACTGTATGCTCTAGTCCATTGTTGTGGCCACTGTGCATTTTGAGTGCCATCCAACCTAGGGGGTTTATCTTCCAGCACTATATTGGACCATATTACATTGTGAGACATAGCTTTTATTGGCTAATTTTTGGAAATAGATCGATCACCAGGCCTGCCTTCCTCTCTGTCCTAGTCTGGAAGGTCTGTTGAAACATGTCCACTATGGGTCACCCTGCTGGTATTTGAAATACTAGTGACATTAACTTCCAGCATCATTGAAATACACCATCCACCACAGTACCACAAACAGACAGGTGGGTAGTCACTGAATTTAAGAATTGTTCATTTAAAGATACCATAAAGGAGAGTGGAAAGACAGACTATAAACTGAGAAAACACATTTCCAACTCATACAATCAACCAAAGATGAGTACTTAATATATATGAAGAACTCTGAAGAATTGATAAGAAAAAAGGAGGGGGGACCAATGTGTCCATGAGCAAAATAAATAAATCAGAATTTAACCCAAGAGGCCTAACCAGAAAAACAGACATGATTTCAAGTATTACAATAGAGGGAATTTAATGTAGGTCACTGTTTACGTGGGTTAAGGAGGAACTGCGAGGCAAGCAGTAGACAGTGACGTAACCCAGTGGATAGCAAGGTGGGAAGCCACTCACATTTCTTCAGCTGGCAGGACAAAGGTGGGAGGAAGTGTTTACGGGAAACCAGGAGCCAGCATTACCCAATGCAAGTTGGAGCACTGTGGGCCTGTCTGGCCGGAGCTGGGAGCACAGCCACAGCAGGCAAAGCCCAGGGTGGACAAGGGAGGGGAGAAGTCTCTGGCTTCCCCCTTCCTTCTGCTCTCTAGTGTCCTCCCTTTAGCCAAACTGCGGTCAGAATCAGGAGGAAAGGCAGGTCAGAGGGAAAGAGAGCTCCGAAACCATCTCACAAAAAAACCCGACTTTGTTTAGAACTGACTGGGGGGAGTTGTAGGTCCCCGGGAGGCGCAAGCTGTTTGTGCACAACTACTAACCTAAAGGTTGGTGGTTTGAACCCACCCAGTGGCGCCGTGGAAGAAAGTCCTGGTGATTTGCTTACATAAAGAATGTGTCGTGTGTTGTCGAGTCAATTCTGACTTATAGCGACCCTATATGACGGAGTAGAACTGCCCCGTAGAGTTTCTTAAGCTGAAATCTTTACGGGAGGAGATGGCCAGGTCCTTTCTGTCACAGAGCAGCTGACCCTTCCGTTAGCCCCCTGAGCGCTGAACCATTGTGCCAACAGGGCTCTTTCTGTAAAGATTACACTGAAGAAAACCCTATGGAGCACAGTTCTACTTTGTAACACGTGGGGTCGCCAGGAGTCAGAATCAACTCTACGGCAAAGGTTTTTTTTTGTTTGTTTGTTTGTTTTTGGTGGGGAAATTGAAGGCTAAGGGCACTCTCAAAAACCAAGGAAGAGTGTCGCTATGAGTCTGAATTGACTGATGGCAACAGGTTTGGTTTTTGGTTTTTGGAATTAGGAGGAAGCTGGTAGCTCCAGACGTAGGATCCTGGGAAACGCAGCCTACCCAGGTCAGCCCCTCTACAGTGCAGTGCAGGGAAAAGGAATGGATCTGAGGGTAAGCAGGCATGGACGGGCACAAATGGCCCATGATGGCATGAAAAAATGTCCAATCTTATTAGCTATCAGGGACATGCATATAAAATCTGCAATCAGATACTATTTCATAATCAGAATAGGCAAATGTATAGAGAACAAGGTTTATTAGTGGTTACCAGGGGCGGGAAAGAGAGGGAGTAGGGAGCCATTGTTTGGGAAGCAGTGGGTTTCTGTTTATGGCAGTGGGACATTTGGCATTGATTAAGGGTAATGATTACACAACATGATTAATGTAATTGATATCATTAAATTGTACACCTGAAAAATCTTGAATTGCCAAGTGTTGTTATATATATTTTTACAAGAATTTTAAAAAAGATACTGTCTTAGTTATCCAGTGCTGCTATAATGGAAAAATCCATGAGTGGATGGCTTTAACAAAGGGAAATTTAGTCTCTCACAGTCTAGGAGGCTAGAAGTCCGAATTCAAGGTGCCAGCTCCAGGAGAAGGTTTTCTCTCTCTGTAGGCTCTGGGGGAAGGTCCTTGTCATCAATCTTCCCCTGGACTAGGAGCTTCTTGTCCCAGGGACTCCGGGTCCAAAGGACACGCTGTACTCCTGGTGCTGCTTTCTTGGTGGTATGAGGTCCCCACGTCTCTCTGCCTACTTCTCTCTTCTATATCCCAAAATAGATTGACTCAAGACATAGTCTAATCCTGTAGATTGAGTCCTGCCTCATTAACTTAACTGCCTCCAGTTCTGCCTCATTAACATCATAAACGTAGGATTTACAACACTTAGAAAAATCACATCAGATGACAAAATGATGGACAATCATACAACACTGGAAATCACAGCCTAGCCAAGATGACACACATTTTGAGGGAACACAGTTCAATCCGTAACAGATACTATTTCCAAAGCTCTGACTTCTGGAAAGGTGGTGTGAAGAGTACTATGGACCCGCTCCCCAGCGAAGCAACTGTAAAACCAAACCAAACCAAACCCATTGCCATTGAGTTGATTCCGACTCACAGTGACCCTACAGGACAGAGTAGAACTGCCCCATAGGGTTTCCAAGGAGTGGCTGGTGGATTCAAACTGCCAACCTTTTGCTTAGCAGCCGAGCTCTTGACCACTCTGCCACCAGGGTGAAGCAATTATAACTAGTAAAAATTATTTTAAAAAACCCAACTATTTAAAGTCTCTGGAAATTGTCTTAAGAATATAGGGCAAATGAATAAATATTTATTCGAGAAGACCTACTAAACCTCAGTAAGAAGAGCAAGCATCTATGGCACTTGAGCCATGAGCTGCTTCTCTCCGTCCCCCCAGCTCAGCACGATTGAAGCTCCACTCTAGGCATGTGTGGACAAGAAAACAAGACTCCTTCTACCCCCAGCTCCCAATCAAGGGCTATGGTATCTCCCCATCAGCTGCTAGCATTTCTCACTGCCCTCCCCAGCTCCATGTTGCAAAGGCTAAATTCCAGGCAAGTGTAGCTGAGAGGTGCAGGGTTCCATTCCTCCACCCAACCCCGACTCACAGGGTGGAGGTTGACACCAAGTGCGGCAGGCCAAGAACACTATGCCAGGTGCAGTTGGTCAAGAATATTTGGGCCCCAATTGCCGTCACCCCAACTTGCTAGCAGACCAGAGGTTCCACACTAGGAAAGCTAAGCTGAGAAGACCAGAGGTGGTCACTTCTGCTCAATGGCCTGCCCGTAAAGCAGGGGCGTCTCTCAGAGGGAAGCAGGCCTCTGTCCTTGCCCCCGACTCTGGAGCAATGGCTCAGAAATTGTGGCAGGGGAGAGGCACATCATAAGAACAGAAAGGTCCAAAGCACTTTCCCTAAAAAAACTGGTTTTGTTTAGAACAGAGTCACGGCGAGGGAGATTCAAGCCTAAGCGCACTTTCAAAAACAATGGAAATTTTGGTGGTAAGCCTTTGGGAGAAAGCCAGTAGCTCCATGAGAGCAACTAGATAAACCAGTTTACCACAGAAAACCAGGGAGAGACAACTAAGAACCGCCCTTCTGGGGTCAAAACAAACCTGAAAGACTGGTCTCAAAAATCCCTGAAGTGGCCCAAATGTCCCTCAACAGATAAATAAACAAAATGTGGTACCTACAGACAATGGAATAGTACTCAGCCATAAAGAGGAATGAAGTCCTGATAATGGATGAACCTTGAAAACATAATGCCAAGTGAAATAAGTCAGTCACAGAAACATGCATGTCGTATGATCCCTGTGAAAATGGCGTGGCAGAGGTGTCTGACCTCCTCTAACTTCACGAGGGGCAGAGAGAATCACTGTCAGCATCAGCCCAAAGATGATTGCTACGAGGTGGAGTTCAGACGTACCTCCTCTCTGCAACCTTTTTACCAATTCTGACGCAGCCGTCCCTCCCATGGCACTGTCTACTTCTCTGCTGGGTTTAGTAATTTGTTGCAATGGCCACACAGAACTCACAAACTGTACTTACAGTTACGGGGTTTATTA